GGAGGAGGGTGTCCCACGCGCTCCTCGTCAAGGAGGCGACGACGTCCACAACTTCAACCGTGCCCTTCGCTCCGGCTCCACTTGCTGCTGCCACCTCCAGCCTACCACCGACGGCACCGGCAGCGCCCCACTCCGGCTCGTCCCCGACCCCGGAATAGCCCCACTCCGACTCGTCGCCTGCAGCGACCCGGCTTGTGTCCTGGGCTTCCCTCGCCGACGAGGACAATGAGGATGACGAAGAAGAGTTGGCTCCGCTGACGCCGCCGGCTTCCAAAAGCCCGGTCTCAGCTGCTGACCCGACTGTTCCATGCGTTGGGCACGAGGAGGAGACGCGTGGTGGATGGCATGAGGTACTGCCTCGGCGCGGTCGGCACCGCCAGGCGTCACCAACACCGGCTTTTGCTTCTCGTCCCATCTCTGCCTGGCTCCACGGTCGATGTTGTGGATGCCTCGCCCTGGACACCGTGCGGCAGTTTACAGAGATCCCTTGCGAGTTGCGATGCTCCCGTTGCTTGGAGAATGGACATTGGGCACGCGGGTGCCGTAATTCTTGGCGTCCGCTAAGCTCTTTGGCATGCCTTGTCGCGCCACCACTGTCTCGCCTCAGCACCGAGCATTGTCGAGCTCCAGCTTCTTGTGGGGGTCCGACGAAATCCACTCTCCCCTACAAGGCGCTTCATCGAGGGTCCTAGGCGTCGATTGTATCCGATGATGTTGGCTCGGCACGCCCAACCGATGTGCTGCTGCAGTCCACTTTAGCAACTCATGCCAAGTTGTTGATGCGTGTTGGGAGCTTTCTGGAGCGGGCGGAGGCGGCCCTGGACAAGCTCTCTCTTGTGTCGGTTGTGTTGCAGTCCACTCATACATCACGTCCTTCTAGTCAGGTTGATGTCGTTAGTCAGGTTGATGTTGTTGGTGGCTCAACGGAGAACAGGGATGAAGAGCTCTATGGTTGTTTCTCCCCTCGAGTTGGGGACAACTTGTCGTCGATGTCTGCTGGTGTAAGCGAGGTCGTCGCCGCGGTCGTCGCCCCTGTGTTGCAGATTATGTCCGAGCTTCAACAACTATGTGTGAGACCTGCTTCACCTCAGCCTATGGAGCATGTGGAGGTCGTCTCGCTGGTGACCCCTGTTGAGGGGCATGATTCACCTAGGTCATGTGAGCAACTAGAGGCGTCCGACTCCATCGTGTCGGTGGTATCTGTGACTGATAATGTTGAGGCAGTCAAGATGTTGGCGTCTGATCCTTTGGAGCCTAGCCAGATGGTCGCCATTGTGGAGCGTGAAGGTTTCGATGTTACAGTTACTCACTCGCACGAGACCGTTGGGCAGGTTTCTGTGCGTGACAAGGTCAATGATATTCTCTTCCAGATAGAGATTCACAGCTTGCTCAAACGTTTGGAGGCGGCTAGCCCTGGATCTGGCAAGGCGATTGTTGAGGAGGCTCTCAGGAGCAAGAGAATGAAGAGTGGCGCCACAAGAAAGGCGTCCGCAGCTGCTTGATGGATGGTCATCAGTCTCTTGGGTTGTCCTTATGGTCTGAGTTGTCACCGCGGATTTGGTGGTGCACGTGGTCTTTGGCCGTGTTATTCTTAGGGGTTTCTTTGCGGTGTAGCAGTGTGGGGGCTGGTGGTCGCTATGTGTTGGTATGGTTGTTGGGTTGGTCGCGTGTTTACGGGGTTACATGCTCCGTGAGTAGTTCACATGTGGTTGATTTGTATCGGTTTACGCCCGGTTTCCCGTTGATTAACCGGGCAATTCTCTTCTGCTTAATTAATCGATGATGCAAATCTTTTGCCTCCGTTTAGAAAAAAGGAGTAAATAGCATAAAACTACTACTTTCCAGGCTAGGGTTCCAAAAAACTACCGGTTTTTAATTTTTCTCAGATAACTACCAAATGAGCGGTCGGCTGTTTCAAAAAACCCTAATCATAGAGTGCTTTAAAATTGATCGCGATTATGACAGTTGGGACCCGCATGAGCGGTCGGTTTGTTTGACTGTTAGCTTACATGTGGGGTCCGCATGTCAGTGTCCCTTTGTCATATTCTAAAATAAAAAATATGTTCTTTTACACATTTACAGACAACCCCTGTAAGTTCTCAGAAAAAAGCTATCGGATCCCTGGATGTTTTCAGAAAAAGCAATCGGGCCCTTGAGGATAACTCGCCCACAGACGACGCCGGTAGCTCGCCGGCGGCCAGCTCACGGGCAAGGCGAAACGAGGCGGCTCGGCCGCCGCGTTCCTCGGCACGAGCCGGGCGACCGACTTGGTGGCTGGGTTCCCCGCCGACCGCTGCCGCTGCTCCTGGCCATGGCGCGCAGTGGCCCGTGCTCCTTGGCGCGGCGGCTGAGCCACTGGCCATGGCGCGGCGGCTGAGCCCCTGGGCCATGGCGCAGCTGGTGTCGCCCCGTGCTCCTTGCCCCAGCTGGTGGCGGCCCATTCTCCTTCGCGCAGTTGGCGGCGACCCTTGCTCCTGGGCGCCGCGGGCGCGCTCCTGGCCATGGCGCACGGATGGCAGCGACCCGTGCTCCTGCGTTGCAGCTGCTCCTTCGCGCGGCCTTCATTCCCGCCGTCGTCCTTGTCTTATCGCGAGACGGATGGTGGAGGTGGTCGTCGGCGAGTGGGGGTAGTCGGGCAGGGGGAGGAAGAAGAAAGAGCCAGAGGAGAGAAAAAAAGATAGAGGAAGAAGAAACAACTTACACGTGGGTCCCACGTGTAAGGTAACAGTCAAACAAAACGGTCAAACAAACGGAGTGTTTAGGGGAGGGCCCGACCTGTCATAAAACAGTTTAAATCGCTAGCAACGAATATTTTGGGTTTTCTGAAACAGCCGACCGCTCGCCTGGTAGTTATCTGAGAAAAATTAAAAATCGGTAGTTTTTGGAACCCTAGCCTGTAAAATAGTAGTTTTATGCTATTTACTCGAAAAAAAGTAATATAAGGCAATGTGCAACGAATCAGAATTTCTGTACAATTAACCTTCCCATGTGAACATGGCTTTAGGAGCCGAAGGAGTATGTATGCCATCATGTCAGTGCGTAGGTACGTTCTTTTCCCAGCTACAAAATTGACCTGCCTATCTAGCATCCTTAGCATGCTGCATGCACAGTATTCCTACTAATCTTGTGCATCCACAAGCAAAAATACAGAAGACAAACAATGCATGGCGGTTCTCCATTCTCCAAGCTGTCGTTTTTCTGCACTTTGTAGCTGATGGCGCGATTCTTGGCCGGTCATTTCGCAACTGATCGATCGATCTCGGCGGTCGACCGATTTCCTGACCACACACCTCACACCTCGATGCCGCTCTGCGAGACCCGATCGTCGGGCGGGCTGATGGTGATCCAGAGCAGGGAGACGGTGATGGAGATGAGCCCCGCCCAGACGTAGACGATGGTCGGCGTGCGGCCCCGCCGCCCCATGAGGCCCTTGGCGAACGGGTAGTAGTGCGCCAGCACCCAGAAGCTGAAGAACCCGCCGCCCAGCAGCTTGCTGTACTGCGGGATCTCCGCGTACACGCAGCGCGACACGCCCACCACCATGGCTATGATGTTGATCCCGATGATGGCCAGCGGCGGGATGAAGAGCGACGTCCACTTGATGAGGTACAGCTCCGCGAACGGGTCGTCATCGTCCTCCGCAGCCGCCTTCGCCGTCAGCGTGAACGATATCTCGATGCCGGCGGCCACCTTGAGCAGGCCCTGCAGCACGGCCGCCAGATGCGCCGACGTGCCCCCGATCACCCAGAACTGCTCGTTGCGCCACCACTCCTCCAGCCCGATCCCGGACCACTTCACCTCCAGCAGGCACAGCAGCACGAGCGTGACGGTGATCAGCAGGAGGTAGCAGAGGAAGGTCGGGTCCAGCGTGGCCACGATGAACTGCCCGGAGAAGAGGGAGAGCGCCGGCAGGAGGCAGTACATGATGAGGAAGAGGGACGTGAACGGGTAGATGCCGACGTTGATGTACGACATGCGCTGCAGGAACATGAGCCGGCGGGACGCGAGCATTGCGTTGTTCTTGGAGAAGAAGATCTCCACCGACCCCGTCGCCCACCGGAGCACCTGGTGGAGCCGGTCGGTGAGGTTGATGGGCGCCGTGCCCCGGAAGGCGTCGCGCTTCGTGATGCAGTACACGGAGCGCCACCCGCGGTTGTGCATCCGGTACCCAGTCACCACGTCCTCCGTCACGGAGCCGTAGATCCAGCCGACGCGCAGCCCCCACTCCGTGTTGTCCTCGTACCAGCAGGAGATCACCGAGACGGCCTCCGCCACGGTGGCGGCGTCGAGCGGCGGCCGCGGCATGAGCAGCGCGCCGGCCGGGCGGCCGTTTCGGACCGAGGGGTGGTCCGCCAGCGGCCTGCCCTGGTACTCGGCCACGGCGATGGACTCGATGAACATCTTGGACTTGCCGAACCGCTTTGGCGCCTCGTGGTCCGGGTGGTCGGACAGCGGGCGGAGCTCGTCGGCGACGCCGTCCCCAGAGCGTGCGTGCGGGTCGATGGGCACCCTGGTCTGGCCGACCAAGCCGTGGTACTCGACCGCGCGTGGCGGGTTGAAGCCGTAGATGGCGTAGCGGCGGAAGAGGCAGCCGGTGCCGACGTACATGGGTCCCTGGAGGCCGTCGAGCGCGCGCATGTTGCCGTCGAAGAAGACGGTGTTGTGGTTGGCGTAGCGGTCGGAGGGGTCGATGCCCTCGAAGCGCTGCGGGAACTGGATGTAGCAGATGCGGTCGCCGCCGCGGTCGAGCATGTAGCACATGGCCTCCCGGATGGCCTGGCAGTTGTACACGTAGTGGTCGCAGTCGAAGTTGAGCATGAAGGGCCCGTTGGACAGGACTGCGGACGCGCGCACCATGGCGTTCATGGCGCCCGCCTTCTTGTTGTGGTCGTACCCCGGCCGCTTCTCCCGCGACAGGTACACGAACATAGGGATGCGCACGTCCACGTTCGTGAAGTCCAGGTACGCGTGATCGTCCGCCTCCCCGTACACCACGTCGTGGTGAGGGTTCTTGATCATCACCTAATTGGTTGACAAACATCGTAACATGAACACACATGTCTGCGCGCCAAAATTCAAAAACAAAATGGTCAGTGTTGATGGAGACCTGGACGATGCTGGCGTGGTCGCCCTTGCCGTGGTCGGGGGCGGAGTCGAGCCAGGTGCCGGGCCAGTGGGTGCCGTCTGCCATCCAGGTGGCCTTGACGGGGGGCGGGGCGGCATCGGACGAGGCGGCGGCCGTCTCACGGGCGATTTTGCGCTCGTGGGCGTTCATGGCCTTCGCGCGCCGTTTGATGGCCTCGGGGAGGTCATTGATACGCACCTTGTACTCGTCGTACTCGCGCTTGATCCAGCGCCGGTCCTTGACGAAGTCCGGCCGCTTCTTGCCTTTCGTGGGGTCGCCCTTCTGGGTGAAGTACGCCTCCGGGTTGCGTGGCTCGATGGAGTGCTTGCGGCAGAAGGGCACCCACACCTTGGCGTAGGCGCAGGCCTCCGCCATGGCCTCGAAGGTGAGCAGCGCGCCGCCGTCGTCAGAGATGTAGACGAATAGCTTCTCGACCGGGTAGTCTGTGGCGAGGATGGAGAGGAGAGTGTTGGCCGTCACCAGCGGCGGTTCCTTGTAGGGATCGGCGGTGGAGATGAACACATCGAGCCCCGGCAGGTCGGAGCGGCCTGTCGGGTTGGACGGCGTCTTGGACTCGAACTTCTCCCGGAGCGCGGCCAGGTCGGCGGCGCGGTTGATGGGGTTCAGCTTGGGCATCTGGTCCAGGAGCCAGGATAAGGCGAACCAGTACTCGCACACGATGGAGATCCCCCACAGCCACATGGCGTCCGGGTTGGGGTTCGTCGCGCGCCATATCAAGAAGAGAAACAGCGCCACGAACCGCACCAGCACCAGCAACCTGCGCATGCAAATCCCCGCGTCACTTTAAAATTTAGAAGATCATGTGTATTGTGTCGTGTCGTAACATTTTGATTGAAATTTCTAGAATTTTGCAAACCTGTAGGGGCTTAGAATGCCCGGAGGAATGGCCACCTTCCGGCTCAGCGGCTTCCAGGGCTTGTCGACGAGGTCCTCCATCTTGACGCTGCCGCCGCCCATGCCGGCGCCGTCGTCGTTCTCGTCCTGCGGCCAGTACGCGTTCCCTATGCCGTACGTGCCCTGGGTCTCGAACAGCCATCGGTTGTGGTCGAATTCCCCGGTTTGGCTCCGCACCAGCAACGACTTGGACGGCGACGCTACGTGCTCCGTGGAGAGCCCACGGTCCATCTTGGCGCCGCCGGCCGCGCCATCGTCGCCACTCCGGCGGTTCACGAGCTTGGAGCCCGAGGTGTAGCGTGGCAAGGGAAGGTTGTCGGGCTTGGTGGAGCCCCCGGACGCGGGAGCGGGCGCGGCGCCTGGCTGGTTGTCCGGGGTGGGCGGCATGAAGACCGTGTAGTTGGTATGGTCGCTTGCCATGGTGGAGCGCTCGGGCGTGATGTCGATGTCGTCGGCGTTGTCGTTGGAGAGGCCGGCGAGGTGCTCGTTCGACGTCCGATGGACGCTATAGCCTGCTGCTGGTAGCTTCGGCACGGACGACGACGCGCGGGTGCGTTCCTCCTAGGTTGCTACGGCCGGTTTGGTGCATTGCTCCCCGCCATTGTTGCAAACTGAGTCCCACACGGAGCGGGAGATGTTTGCATGGCTTGGAGGGAATTGTGCGGGAGGGACGAATCGAGATGTGGAGTGGCGAAAGTTTCGGAGACCGGAAGCATCGAGGGAGAAAGGCGCTGTCATACACGCACTCGTGCAATCGAATAGCTAGCGCTCAGATTCTTTTCCAGGAATCCTTTAGTTTTCAAAGATTACATGTATACTGTACTAAAAGATTGTTACTAAATTAGTTATGTGCACAAAGGAAGGAAAATAGGACTGCCACGTACAAAAAAAGAAATGGCAAAAGGGTGATATTCTTTTTTATAATGGGGAAAAAAGGGTGATATTCGGTAACTCATTTTTTTAGCACAGCTCACTAGGTTTTATTGATTAGATTGTGGCTAGGTCTCAGTCGACTGAGATTTAACGAAGTCTCAGTCAAATGACATAACATGCAAGAGAGAAAAAGAAAAAAATGCACGGATCTTAATGTAGGATCTTACGAATATAGCATCGACTAGGACTTGACGAAGTCTCAGTCGACTGAGACTTAGCAAGACTGTATTGATTAATGATCACCGAGGGGATCCGAAGCCAAGTGTGACACCCTCGATCTAAAGAAGAACCAAACCAAGCTAGGTTGTGCAGTTGTAGGCTTCATAGTTTGAGCCTCTTTGTTCATGAACAAAATTACAATAGGTAAATGATGATCTATGAGTGCTAAATTATTTGATGAAATCTTCATATTTCCCTCCTGTCTTTGTAGCAATGTTGTTGACGACGTTAAACAACCTGATGCAATGTGCAAGTCCTGTAGATAAAGGTCCATTGCCAACGCTAGCCCTTCCCGGCAAGCGAGAGCCTCCAAAGTTGCAAGATCTTTTACACACGACATTACTAGGGCCGACACACCCAAGTATGCTCCCTGCTCATCACGAGTTCATGACAAAAGGCCGCCACAATGCCGGTAGATTCCGATCTGGAAACACCACTGTACACATTAATATTACCACATCAGAGGGAGGAAAATCCCATATATTAACCAGAGCAAGCGAGGCAATAGAACTAGTTGTCCTAGGAGCTTTGAGATTGCTCAAATCATCCAACTGGTTGATATACCTGGTCACTAATTCATGAGTTTGGAAAGGACTTTGAAAAATGTCATTATGAATTGGCTTTCACCTTGTTGTCCATATAACCATAATGTCACCACTAGGTGATAATGAGTCAAACGTAAGAAACAGTCATGTCTTCGGAATCAGCTCAGTTGTAGCTATAATATGATGAAGCAGATCCCCATCAACGAGTGTCCAAAGGCAATGGAACATGGTGCACTCAGGGAATTGCGCTATAAATCCACGGCGCCACATAACGAACAGAAGCTGCTCGCACGCATCCGTCTGTGATGGCAGACATCCTCAGATGGGAGAGAAACTTGAGCAAGGCGCCATAAGAACATCCAAAATTTTGCAGGCACTTCAACCTTCCATAGTTTGTGGCACCTAGATTGCTCGGTGGCTGATTTCGAAGATCCAAGGCGGTCTTCTAGCCAAACTTCTCTTCACCATTTTTTCGCCACTAACATGCAATAGGGATGTCGAATATGATCTCAACATCTGATGCAAGGAAATCTTGTTACACCAACGTATAGTCCCACCTTGCGGTGAGAGGATTGTTAAGTTCGGTTACAAAGGCTGGCAGATCTAGCACTAAAGATAATGATGGTCTCGCGAGCTCATCCCTTGGCAACCAGTTCTGGTTTCAAATATGAGTGCTAGACCCATTCCCAATCCTCCTTATGAGACCCTCACAGAGCACATCACGGGCTTTCAGAATCGCCCTCCAAATCTGGGAGGGATGGGAACCAACACTACAAAAAAGGACACATTCGTGATGATACGTTTGTCACAATAGGTCATGTTTTGTGTCACACATATGCATCAATGACAGTTTTATGACAGAATTAAGATAGCCATACATGCACTATCGAGGATGTGTACCATAATAGTAATAATCACTTTTTCATCACAAAAGTGTCCACTTCCATGATGGCAAATGCCGCCATGGAATTGTTTTGTCAAGGGTAACTGAGACATGGCGGCCACTGTAACAGTAGCCGCTAAGCTATCAGATGCATGTTTCGAATCCGATATCTGTTAACAGCACCGAGCAATGAGGATTCTGCATGTGTCATATTCTCATTCGCAAATGGAGCAACACAACAACTCTACCTCGTGACAGGTGTTGCTCATCCAACGGAAGATATGCACCTATGAAACGTCGACACATGGCATGACTCAATAGTGGTCCGTTTAGTTAAAAAACTGGCCCAGTAAGAGGGCCATAAGATTTAGGCAACCGCGGGGATGGCCTCGGGGTGGCAGTGTGGACCGCAGTCCACAACACTACTGCTCGAAGGGACGATGCAGCATCAGCATGCAGGTCATGCACCCGCGGGGTGGCAGCGCTACTCCCGACGGAAGATGCAACGACAACCCATTGCTCGATCAGTGGAGGGGCGTGCTGGACACGGGAAGGATCTTCACAGGACCCGCGGAGGTGTGCATAAGAAACTAGCCAGGACGATTGTATGGGGCAGATGGGATGGATCGCGGGCGGACAGGTGATCAATCCTATCGCCCGAAGTTGGGGACACCGCTTGGTGACAGTCGGCACGTGCGCGCGACCCATGCCCGAGCAGGGTGTAGAGTGGCGCAGCACAAACGCAACCAACTGATGGATCACGTACGTGGCGGTACTAGGGCCCAGCGGTCTGATGCAGCCGAGCGGGATGAAGTTTGATGGAGGATCCCGATCCAATCATGGCGATGACGCCCGACCTAGAGTGACGGGTGGAAGGACGTGTGGATGGCAGCCTTAGTGTATCGCGCGAGACCGCCATTTCAAAGAAGAGGCCCGTTGAATCGTCGCTAAAGCCGGAGTATAGTTGCTTGATGGTCGACGACGGCTGCGGGCAACACAAACCGATCTTAAACTGGAAAAACAAAAAAGAGAAGCATCAATCAAGATGACCGGCGTGAGAGAGAAAAACTAGGATCAAGGATCGGGGAAAAGACTCTTTAGGGTAGTCGGTCAACACGACCGGCGAACAAACCCTAGGTATGGGCGGCACATCCCCCGGTGGCGATCATGGAGAACGACCGCCCCAAGGGCGGCACGGTGCAAAAGCGACGACGACTGCTAGGATTGTGAACCGGAGATAGGCTGATACCATGTAGAAGAAATAGAGAGGGAGATTGATGGAAATGAGCCTCGTAGGCTTATATATAATAAGCACATGATCTTTTTGGATTACAAAACAAGATAAAATAAAGGGAAATGATTGCCATCACCCGGCGGATCACGCAAAAAAATTCCGCCGCCTTGCACGATCGACACATGCCTTGTGGGTCCTCACACGTCTCCACTCCCAAAAGGATGCACAATCGTGTTCCCTCTCTCTCTCTCTCTCTCTCTCCCGCATAACTCCTTCCTTCGCTATAGATCGGGACAAGTGTGATGGCAGGCAGCCACCGCACACCCCCAACGCGCCAACGCTGCTGTTGCCGGTGAGCAAGCTAAAGGTCAGGTCGCCATGGATCCCTTGCCGAGATTCGTCCACCGCGCCACTGGTATGGCAGGGGCCAACTTCTGCAGCCCGACCACCGGTCGTCATGGTGCTCACGCATCTTCGTCGCCGCCTCGCTGGAGCTGCAAGTCGTTTGTTGAGATGCAAGTCATTCTCTCCTCATTTTCCTCTTCAACTGCTCCTCTCTCTGCCTCCCTATGCCCGCTTGCAACCATGGCCGCCGCTCGAGCGAGCACGCCCGATCTCCACTCCAGCCTCCCCTGTTGCCTCCGTCGCTGATACATCTCCAACGTATCTATAATTTTTTATTGTTCCATGCTGTTATATTATCATTCTTGGATGTTTTACAATCATTTTATAGTCATTTTATATCATTTTTTGGTATTAAACTATTGACATAGTGTCTAGTGCTAGTAGCTGTTTTCTGCATGTTTTTTACATGGCAGAAAATCAATATCAAACAGAGTCCAAACGCAGCGAAACTCCTGGAGGATTTTTTTGGGCAATAAGACATCCAGTGGGCCAAGGAAGCACATGGGGGTGGCTCGAGGGGAGCAGCACCCACCAGGGCGCACCAGGAGGCCCATGCGCGCCCTGGTGGGTTGTGCCCACCTCGGGTGCCCCTTGAATCGCCTCTTTGATCTATAAATACCCCAATATTCCAGAAACCCTAGGAAGTCGACAAAAATCAATTCCAGCCGTCGCAGAATCCAGAACCACCAGATCCAATCTAGACACCATCACTGAGGGGTTCACCACTTCCATTGGTGACTCTCCGATGATGCGTGAGTAGTTCTTTGTAGACCTACGGGTCCGTAGTTAGTAGCTAGATAGCTTCCTCTCTCTCTCTCTTGATTATCAATACAATGGTCTCTTGGAGATTCATATGATGTAAGCCTTTTTGCGGTGTGTTTGTTGGGATCCGATGAACTTTGCGTTTATGATCAGATCTATGTTTTTATCCATGAAAGTTATTTGAGTCTTCTTTGATCTCTTATATGCATGATTGCTTATAACCTCGTATTTCTTCTCCAATATTTGGGTTTTGTTTGGCCAACTTGATCTATTTATCTTGCAATGGGAAGATGTGCTTTGTAGTGGGTTCGATCTTACGATGCTTGTTCCTAGTGACAGAAGGGGAAGCGACATGTATGTATCGTTGCTACTAAGGATAACAAGATGGGATTCATATCTTCATAATAGATAAACAGATCTTGTCTACATCATGTCATCA